TTTATTTGCAGTTTTTGGCTGGGGCTGGGTTTGAACCTGCCACCTCCAGCATATGGGGCTGGCGCCCGATTCCTCTGAGCCACAGGTGCCGCCTCCAAGACACAACTTCAATATAGTAAATTAATATGAAACAAAATAATCCACAGCAAAGCAGTAAAATAGTATTAGAAGAAAAGACACTAAACTAAGGGTGACTCATAAAATGCTCTCTTAAGTATTAAATTTCCAAATCTCTCAAGAAGTACTTTGGACAAAGACTATCAACAATATTAAAAAAAGATAAATTTTCAAAATTACTTTTTATAAATCTTTGATATTCATTTTTAAGAAAGTTTGTGTTTATAAGTTACCCAGCATAGAAAAATTATCAAAGACCACAGGAAATAAAATTGTATCTGCTCATAAGTTGGCAAATATAATAATATATATGAGATATCTTATTGGCTATAATAAGTCTATACTATGACTTATTCACTAACAGTATGAATTAGTTAATTGTGTATATCAATTAAATTATATATATATTTAAGGAGGTACAAAAAATGCATACATCTTTTAAGAAAGGAAAATTCTGTATTAAATTTGTGAAACTCAAGTCATGTTTGACTTCTGCAATTATAAGAGATGTTCAGCGTGACCTGTATTTGTCTTCTATTGTTGGTATATATTGACTATTATAATTTTAATACATTTTTCCTTCCTTAAAAAGTGTATACATAGCATTGGTATTATTATTGCTTAATATTTCATTGCAGCAATCATCTGATTTCTTTTATGAATGTATTTATCTTCATGCATTCTTTATGAGGTTTTAGTTTCTAGTACTTATTTTAAACATTGTTACTGTTGTTAAATTTTGAGCCTTTTTGATTTTGTGAAGGCAAAAAGTGGAAACCTAGCAAACACATGTATATGTAAAACTTAAAAAAAATTAAAAAGTAGATACATTTTCTTGGCATCCTCTGTATCTGTCCCATAGTATATAGTGGGCGTTCATATGTGTATATTTTTTATGGAGACAGAATGTAGGATTGTTTTGTTTATATTACATACCTTCAGCACATTTTAAAATGTCAGCCAGCTACATTTTCTCCAACTGCTTAAAAACAAAAGTGGATAGAGAATATGTGTGGAGTCATATTAAAATCAATCATATTCTAGGAACCCTAGGAGTCTTAGTAGGGTTAGAGGGAAGTTTAGTTGCCTTGTTATTTTGGCAGTAATTATTTTCCTTATCACAAAAACAAATATATCCAAATAGTTACCTAATAGTAGTTATTAATTAATGTAATTTATACCAATAAAGGACAATTCATAGTGAGGGGTTTATTGAGATTTTTTTTAAATGCATCAATTTATTAAACTGTGTTAAAGTCTGGAGCAGGTGAAGATGTGTTATATAATCTTGTTATAATCAGTAATTCTTGAAGTATAAGGTATATAAAAAGTCCACTTGGATCTCACTAAAAGCACAGTTTCATAGGAGGGAAGACTCCTAGAAGCCCAGGGATCTACATGGTAGCAGGCATCCAAGGAGATAAACGTGAGTTAAGTAACACACTTTGGAAAAATGTTTCAGTAAAATCTAGTGAAGTCTTCCTGAGGTACTAAAATTTTTCATTTAAATTTTGATTCAAAATTTCAATTTAAACTTATTAATCTAATTTAATTATTAAAGCCATTTAAATGTAAATGCAATCATTCTAAGAGACTTGAGAAAAGGTACATAATATGTATTTTAAAAATCATTTCATCGTGTCAATCATGAAAAAATTGTCCAACTGTATAAATGTGCCTCACGTGTATAAATATATATATATATGCTGTTGAAAATAATTTCAGGTTTTTTTTTTTTCGCAACGGGTTTGCCGCCAGAACACAGGTGTTGTGAAAACCGCCCATACAATCCAAAATGGGGAAGGAAAAGACTCATATCAACATCGTCGTCATTGGACACGTAGATTCGGGCAAGTCCACCACTACCGGACATCTGATCTACAAATGTGGTGGCATTGACAAGAGAACCATTGAAAAATTTGAGAAGGAGGCAGCTGAGATGGGAAAGGGCTCCTTCAAGCATGCCTGGGTCTTGGATAAACTGAAGGCTGAGCGTGAGCGTGGTATCACCATTGACATCTCCCTGTGGAAATTTGAGACCAGCAAATACTATGTGACTATCATTGATGCCCCAGGACACAGAGACTTTATCAAAAACATGATTACAGGCACATCTCAGGCTGATTGTGC